TCCCTTTGGGGAAATTCTGTATAGGCCCATGTGAAATTGGGTGGACAACTCCCAGAATCCACCCACACTTTAGAAGACGACTCCCAATGGACGTCCGCTGACGGTTGTTGGGAGTCGTTAGCGAAAAAACGGGAGTCGTTTTTCCGAGTCCCTATTTATAAGGGTGGTTGAGATGATCTGGTCCACTGGTGGGATGATGGTCCCCTGGTGGGATGATGGAGAGAACAACTGGCAGGCAGAGGCCTCCTTATATAGACAAATGTGAGGGATTTTGGCCCCAGGGTACAGGCTGTGAGATACTACTACAAAGGGATGCATATGAATGAACAAAGGGACGCATATGTATGATCAAAGGGATGCATACATGCAATCTCACTAATACAAAGGGATTCAAAATAACGTAAAGGTATTCAATTTACTACAAAGGAATTCAGTATGCAATATTCATCCTGTATTCATAATGGCTATGGCTAGAGTGCAGAATCCAAGAAATATCCCATGACAGGTTGAAATATGTGTAACTTCCAAACTATAAGAGATAAGGGTATGGTTGTAGTGAGTGACTAGGGTTTATTTTACCTGAGGATTCCATTTTTGATTTCATTTTTACCATATCTTGAATGAATAAAGAGATAATAAGAATTTTTTATATTTTCTGCGTAGAAACACAGTATTATTTACCACACCACCCGTCTAAGTAAGAGAATTCAGTGAAGAATCTCACCTCTTGCATAACTGCCCCCAGCTGCCACACACAAATTCTGACGTTACTTGCAAGTCCCTCCTTCAGAGGCTTGCTTTGCAAGGGGCGCTTGTGCTGTGGTAAGACAAATCAAAACCTGTTACACCTTTCTACCACCTTTCTGGACCATCTTCACACCTTCTACATATCATAACACCCCTCAAATGAACATCCTACATATGTAATACACTCATGGCCACCTTCAATCACTCCATAGACACTTCCATCAGAACCACAAAGGCCAACAACCCATCAGTAACACTCCACATGGATCACCAGCCACACTTGGTAATAAAATAAGTACAAATCAGGTATAAAGTGGGAGAAAGTCCACCAGAAAAGAGAGCCAGACTATTAGGAAAGACCCCTGTTCTTCATCATCATTGTTTCTCCTTATTACATACCATGGCACTTTCTACAGTAGCCTCATATGTCATGTTTCCATCCCTGTTGCTTCAGCCTTGTTTCACCCTTTTCACACATGCCATTCCCAAGCCTGTCTCCCAAGCCATGTTGTTGCCTTGTTACATGTACCCTGTGATGACGCCTTGCTCATTGTTTTCTTATTCCCCTCCAGAAGACTTATATGTAGTGCTCTCTTGGCCCTTGCCATTTGTTACCCATAAGAGTTGTCATTATTGCTCCCTGGTCATTGATTTAGCATTAATTACTTGGAAAATATTTAGCATTACAGACTTGAGACATTTCACACAGACTTATTATCTTCATACCTTACCCTTTACATATCTTACATCTTCATTTAGCCACACCTTTCTTTAAGAGTCCATACTCTTATTTCTTGTTCTTCTTACTCTCCCAGTAACCAGAGAGGCAGCCCTTCAAGCTCTCATCCCTCTCTAAGCTCTATTTCCTCAAGAGTAGTTCCACAGCAACCGCCTGGTACAGGTCCTTGTTATGAGCTGTGGAGGACTGGAACTGGGGAAGTTACATATGTAGAGAGCCTGTTACATACATGTCACAAACTTTGAACTTGGAGTTTGTTTGAGATCCACACCTTGTACATTCCTCATCTTGCAATCTACCATCAAGACTCAGAACCCTGAATATCCATCACCTGCTCTCCCCAGAACACCCATAACAGTCCTGGGATCAAGGGACTTTTGCTAAGTTAGGTCCAAAGCTGGAATGTTTGGAAGACTACACCACCCTGCGTGACCACTTGCATACAGGGTTTACTTTTGATTTTTGTTTGCTATCTTTCTTATCCCTTAATATCAGCTCATGAGGGTGAGACCATTGGAATCCTGATGGAAATCTTGGTCTGACTGGGTCCAAATGTGTTACTCCCCCTGCCTCAGACCCCCAGCACAGTGGCTGGCCAGGTCCCATTGCTGAGGCCGGAAAGCATTTTGGTGTCTGTAGACTTGATGTATTCTTCCAAACCTTCCAACTCCAGTCAATTTTTTTTATTAGAACTCCCACGGCACCTCCCAAGGCCACAAGCTTTCTTGGTTTGGCTGTACATGATTCCAAAATGGTAAATCTTCTAGCTACACACAACGGTGGGCCGCTACACTAACCATAGCGGTTAGTGTAGCATCACACAGCGGAATTCCTGTTAGCGCTAAGTGTAGTGCAGCTGAATTACGCCACAACACTGCTAACGCTATGCGTGTGGGCCGCAAAAAAGGGCCCACTACACTGCGCTGCAGTGCTGTTAGCGGTTTTTGGGCTGTTTTTACCGCTAAAAGTGCTGTAGCGCAGCGTAGAGTAGCAAAAATCCGCTACAAAAGCGCTAACACTAAATTCTTTTGATGCAAAAAAAGCGCTGGTACATGTTGAAATTTTAAAACTTAGGCGCGCAAGAGGTGGAGGGCCAAAAAATGAGGATCTTCTTTTTGGGAATGGTTCACAGAAAAAGAGTGTAAGAACCGATGAGTTTTCATTCACAAGTAAGAAGCCAGGTTTAAGTAGACTAGATACAAGTGTCAGAAATGTGGTTGAGTTTAATTTGAATAAAAAAGGATATTGAATAAAAGACTGTGAGGAAGAAACATGAGTCTTGGAAGAAGCAAACCGTACAAAACTTCTCAGTCTCTTTTAGTCAAGCCGGATGAGTTAATCAAGAAAAACATGTCATAAACCACAGATATTTAGAGTCGTTAATTCTAAGTAATCAGTTTTTAATAAATCAAGCAAAGAGATCAGGAAAGAGAAGAAATCATCGTAGAGACATGAGTTGTTGAGATAAGCTAATTACTTAGGGTTCATATTTGACTCAGAAGGGGCTTAATAACAACAAAAAACAGGCTTCTTGATAATTATAGACTGGTCTGATTTTTGATGACTAGAAAGGAAAATGAAGTGATTTTGGGTAAGAGTAGACCAGAGAAGAGGAAAACTCAACAGTACACTATGGGCCGCTACGCTTTTGGCCCAAAAAAGGATAAGAGTTTGTAAAAACTCTGAGAGGTATTTTCTGGAATAATTTACAATGGAGAAAGGGGGATTTTTGACGTAAAATTCAAGAGGGAAATGGTTAAATTACATGAGTAAATTAAGGGGATTGGTTAAACAACTCCCAAACATTGGAGAGTCAACTCTCAATCCACAGAATCCTGGAAATTTGGGTGTCAAAACCCCAGAAAATTTGACTGGTTTGAGAGTTAACTCCCTAAAAACATATTAAAAAAGAAAACCGGTTGGTTTGGGAAGACTGGGCTAGCTACACTAACCGCAGTGTTAGTCTAGCGTATTTTTGCTACACTTTAGCGTAGTGTTAGTGCAGATACACAAATCTACCCTAACACTATGTGCGTGGGTGGCAAAAAAGGGCCCACTGCACTGCACTACAGCACATTTTAGCGGTTTTTGGGCCTTTTGTGCTGCTAAAAGTGCTGTGGCGCAGCATAGCGTAGTGACACCAACAGCATGCTAACACTACAGGTTTGGCGCTCTGTTTCTAGGGGCGCTACACTAACGTTAGTGGGCTGTTTAGCGCAGTGTAGCGGCCCAGAATTGGTATGGGAGCCAATCCTCCAAACCCAATGTGGAAATTAAGGCACACCCCAGGAGATTTATTGACCTTCTCCGCTCCACAATGCTTCCTTACTCCAATTTGTTGTCTGGGGTAACTTGCTTGATGGTCGTATTGGTAGGTAAATAACTATGATTTTTTCTTTTCTCTATGATTTTACTACTCTAACTTTTCTATTTCCAACAATTCCTTAGGCTAATACATGATTACTTCCTAATTCTTTCTGTTTTTCCAATATGTTCTAAGTCATAAGTCTTTTCCCCCCCCTCACTTCTCTTCCTCTCCAAACTCCTACTGCTCCAAATGTCTCACACACTCCATTCCTTGCTTCCCATGCTGTCCTCTGCTCTCACTCCCTTGTAATCCGCTTGTCACCCCTCAATTTCCTGCTCCAGCGGCCAGTCAGACAGGTATCCCACCACTGCTTCCGCCTCTGGTCTGGCCGCGCGGAACCCCGCTTCTGCCTCTGGTCTGGCCGTGCCAAACCCCGCTTCCGCCTCTCTGTGCCCTTCTCTTTCTTAGACCCTCCACAGCACGCAATAACCCCAATCTGAAGTCGGCCATAACCACTGAAGCCCGCCAGTGCCCAGATTCCCCATGGTAAGTTCCAGAACACTGTGCATTTGACCCTGCTCTGCCTGCGCTTTCCCACGCTTCGAAAAGCTTGACTTTCTACCTGCTCACCGCCGCTTTCCTCAGCCTGCATGCTTTCCTCATCTGCCTTGTGCTTTCCGCTGTGGTATACCTTAAGGGTAGCCATCTGACCCATTTAAAAAATTTTATACTGTTCTTTCTTTTATTACACAATTACACCTTTTTTCTCATATGTACACTCACAAATCTCCCAATATGGCTCAAGAACTGGATTCTACGGTCATTTTCACCCTTGGTCACCACTGGAGGCGTCACTGGAACTCAACTGGATTGGAAGCTACACCCTCTGGACCATCACTACACTCAATTACACAACTCACCACCATGGCAACACTCAACCAACCCCAACACATCAACAATTACATATCTCACACTATAAATATGCACATTGCAGGACAACTACATAATCACACCATTATAGTACAGGTAATGACAGGTATACACACAACTACACTATCTCCTGACATTTGACATATGTAGCTTTTGGGCGATGATAAGATAATTGCACTCCTCCCCCCTCCCCGCACACCCACGCCCACGCCCCTCCAAAAGGGGTGTGAAATCAAACCCGCCCGTCTCTGAGTTGCGGGTTTGATCGCACGCCCCTCAGAAACCTGATTTCCCAAGGAAACAGGCTTCCGAGGGGCGGGTAGAAAAACCCGCCCCTCAGAGACGGGCGGGTAGCTTAACCAACTGCCGTCAATCCCAATGCCTGATTCACGGAGAGCGAGTCTATCAGCGGTGCCAAGTTTCTGGGAGGCCGCCCGGGCCTTGTCCTTGGTGCGTCTGAGGAGCTTTTTCTTCTCCTGGGCCATGTCGCAAATGGAGCGAGTGCGGCCTTTGAGCCAGGTGATCGAAGAGGCGCTGTGAGCCGTCGGCTTCATTGTTGGAACGGCCGCTGCCGGACTAAGTCTGCCCAACTCGAGGGCGAATTTAGGTCCAGCGGGTCCACTCCAATATTGATCGGCTGGTCCAGAAATCCTCATCCTTGGCAATGCCGGAGATGCTTGCCAACACGCTCCAGAGAGTTCACGCGGACTGGCGGCCAAGCTTTGAGCCACCCCGTCCGCCTTGATCCAAGGCATTTGTCGCTGTCGTTGCCATTGTCGTAGCGCTCATCACCGTCCCCACCCATATGCTCAACATCATGATAGACATCAATTCGCTTAAGAAAGCCATTGTTTTATGCTACAGAGGAATTTGAAAGTCAAAAAAGAAAAGAAAAGCTTATGAGGAAGCTGAAAAGATCAAGGTGTGTACACGTGAAATAATCTAAATAACTGACGTTTTCAAAAAAAAAACAAGACCTGATGACTTACAGCCAATTACGTCAGCAAAACATGCCAGGA